TGACATTTCAAGTCAAATTCTTGAAACTTTTGTTTGAGTACTGAAATATATTTCATATTTTAATCAAACCAAATAACTTAAACTAATCTTATATTTCATTGGAATTATGAACCGATTAATGTTAGACCACTATTGAGGACCTGGAAGCACTGAACAGCCGTTCCGTCCTAGTGCGAGACTCGAACTCAGGACCTTTGGTCTCACGCGGATGTTTAACCTCTAGACCACTGGGTCAGTATCCAATGATGTTAATATCTAACTTTAACCAATTCACGATATTGAGCAGCCATCTTCCACTGTCTTCGGTGGGTAACTACTTCACACCTGACACTGTTGGACTCCAGTGGTTACGGCTTCTCACTAGAACTCCTAGAGTTACCTCTCGAAGCTAGTCACTAATGAGCATATGGTAATCTCCAGTTTGAGTCTATAGAGATTGTTGATCGTGAATACACACTGCTGAGGAGTCCCATACTAGGAAAAAAACGGCCATCCGGTTCTTCCAGGTTTTCAAGTGTAGTCTAACATTAATCAGTCCATGATTGCAATGAAATTCAACAATGTTTACAATTCCAAAATGATAATCTTATATTGTTACTCAACACAAAGTTAAGAATGTGTTATAACTGAAAAATATTTATTTCATGTATTGTCAACGGTTGAATTTACATAAATGAATGGCAATTATTTTAAATGATATATAATTACAAAACAAGGTTGACCTAGATGAAAACTCTAAAGAAAATCTTTTAATTGTTTTTCACACTGGTTGGTAAATTAAATAGAACACAGAATATTGCTAAGATTTATATCCCGGTCAACATTAACAGTTCGAAATTTCTATGTACACGTCTAAGTCATTATTATAGTATTTTCGTTGAAATTCTCCTTAAAGTCTGCTAGTTATTAATTTTTAAGTTAAATACTTACAATTGTTCTTTTAATTGACTTCAGTCAATCGATATATGTAACTTAACGATGTGTAAAGTAGTGCAGTGAACAGAACACAGGTGAGGACAATCGAATATGTTTAATACAGAATTGCAGAGTTACTCGATAAAATAGAAAAACCATATAGTAAATCATTAATTTGCAAAATATCATTCCAACATATCAAACCGGACTGTTGCTGTTGTTATCATCAATCCATTGTCTCACATTTTATTGTTCATGCGTTTTCTTACAAATTGTATTTTGTTCCCGCTCTTTCTTTCTTGATCTTCCCCCATCTTCTGCTGCCAGACATTACGTTCTTTAACTCGCATCATATACTACTTATATCAATATAAGTAGCACACGCCACAGTAGGAACCAACAAAAGTTTAGTGAAATTTCTCATGTAAATGAGTATTATGTGAAGATTAATTAAGTTACATACTAGTGTTATGGTTGACTGTGTTAACCCTTTGTAAATAAATGAATTACAATGTCTTTGTATGTGCAATCTACTCATTTTATCAAAATCTACCATAAATTTTTCACTGGTTATAAAATTAACTATAGTGAAATGTGAATTTTATTTATGTAAATCAGTCTATTTAAGGTAACAACTATCTGACTATAGATAATATTATGTCAAAAATCCATGCAACTGTCAATTGTTTTTATTAAAGACTGATTTGGTTCATTCATTGAATCCAGTACCTAGATGGTAGTAGGTTTATGGTGTCTGATTATTCACTTTTGTGTTTCAGGATCAGTGAGAACTTCATCTAATTAATAATTCATTGGTCTAACTGCTTAACAACAATAAACTGTATGTGAATGAATCTAGTTTGTTAACAGAACACGGTTAGCTTGATCTTGTGAACAAACAACAGAAAGTCTTCAAATTTGATGCGAATCACATTTTGTGAGCGTAGATGTTATTCTGTGATTATAGCAACTCCTCTATAATCAAATTCGATTAAGGTTAATTTTTGTTAAACCCTTTTATTAATTTACTTAACAGAGGTTATTCGAACAGTAACAATTCGCATATTTCTTTGTACTATTGTGATCACTATCTTGTCTGTATAAACGTGTACGCTTGATCACATGTGACAGTATACTCACATATCTCTAGCTAAAATGTTATTATCTTAAATATCGCTCGATATGTCATTCTCTTCCCAATGTATATATGTACTCGAATCCTATGATTAGACTTTGCCTTACCTAGCTGCGCCTTGATTCGATTTGACTAAAAATTTGCCTCTGTATTTGCCCGTCCGCACATATTAGTCTTTCTGCTTCAAATACACTCGATGTCCTTCTAGCTTTGCTATCCGTGCAATCCGATAATAAACTGTAGTCGCCGCCTCTTATTGCCTTCTGAATTCAAACACCGCTGAGATTTATATAATAACGGTTATCAAGGTGATTGGTTAACGAAGCCAAGCCAATACATGTTAAGTAGGATTTATGTAAAAATTGCACATGTTTTGAATAAATGTTACATCAACGTGCATATTTTTACTAGGGTTTTTGGAAACAAACCACCAGTTGGGATAATCAAGGAACTTTCATCAGTCAAATGAAAACTGAAAATTGAGAGTGGTTCTTTATTCTAGTATAGGATTCCCCAACAATGTGTGCCCTTATATTATGATCAAGTCCAGAAACTTCATGTACCACAAAGAACAGATGAATTTCATGGTATATTTAAAATTGAACAAGTATTAGAGTATGTATAAATGACCTCAAGTTGTTGTTTACATCACAAAGTCTAAAGGTATTATGTTTGATTTTATGTATTGCCATGGGTAGACAGTATTCACCTATCTCATACCAGGACCAGTCATTCAGCCAGTCGTAAGCAGCGTAGAACTTAACACGTACATACATCAGTTCGAGTTGCCATACCACACTAGGCTTGAGAGATACAATTATTAGAACAAGTTTTAGAGTGGTAGAGGTAGTAATAGAATCTGTATTAGTAGACAAAAATACATAAACAAATATGGCTTAATATGGAAAAATGAATTTGTGAAATAGTAAAGTATGAGACAATTTAAAACCCAATATCTATAGAAAGATAGATAATGAATGCATCTAAACCATTTTAACCGATTCTGAACCATGTCGCTCACAGTTTCCAACCTCTGATTACAATAATCGAGAGGACCCTAACTAGGTCAAACATCTATTTCACAACTCATAGTTTTCAATGAATTTTCAACTGATCCCTAGTCATGACGGAAAGTTATTTTACTACTGAACAAAAGTTTTAGAAAATAATGCATCCTTGTACAAACTGATTTTTAACAACAATTAATAAGAAACCATGAAATATAATGATGTTAATCTGCTTCATTAATTTTTCTTGTTTTAATAGAACTTATAAATGGGAAAAACTATGAAATTCCTAATAAAGTTGATTTCGGAAAAGTTCTCATCAATGAACGTTAGTGAAAAGAGTAATAAGTATGGAAAGATGATAAGAGATGTTCATATGTTAATGAGTGTGAATATTTTATAGGTCGAATATATATAAGAATATTCTTGAATAAACAATTAATAAAATGAAAACAGAATTATTTGGCGGGACTATAATTTATGGACGAATAAATCAGATTTAGGCTAACAGGTTTTGGATTTGGGTGCGAAATTCATTAATCCATTTGGTTAAAGAGAATTTTGACATTTTAACTGGTATAAGTTCGTGATGAAAACTCTAACCCTAACGTTCGACTATAAATCATATTCCTTATTCTTCATATAAGTTCATAACTCTCATTTAGCCCTAGTAAGTAGGTGGATGGCGTGGACAGAACAACACTATCGAAGCTTCTTCGACACTACGGCGTGCCTCAGAAGATAGTCAATATCATACAGAATTCCTGTGATGCATGAAACTGCAAAATCATACATGGAGGAAGGTTGACAAACTTGTTCTAAGTAAAGACCGTTGTTAGGCAAGGTTGCTTACTCTCACCCTTTCTCTTTCTCCTGGTGATCGACTGGATCATGAAGACGTGAATATCTGAAGGGAAACACGGAATACAATGGACATCTAGGATGCAGTTGGATGATCTAGACTTCGCAGATGATCTGGCCCTTCTATACCAAACGCAGCAACAAATGCAGGAAAAGACGAACAGTGTAGCAGCAACCTCAGCAGCAGTAGCTCTCAATATACACAAAAGGAAAAGCAAGATTCTCCGATACAACACAGCATGCACCAATCCAGTCACAATTGACGGACAGCATCAATGATAAACACGGTGGATCTGATGCAGATATGAAGGCGTGGATCAGAAAAGCAAGAGCAGCATATTTACAACTGAAGGACATCTGGAACTCAAAGCAACTGTCAACCAACACCAAGGTCAGGATTTTCAATACAAATATCAAGACAGTTCTACTGTCTACTGGGGCGGAAACCTGGAGAACTACGAAAGCCATCATCCAGAAAATACAGGTGTTTATTAACAGTTGTTTACGCAAAGTACTTCGGATCCGTTGGCCAGACACTATCAGCAACAACGTACTGTGGGAGGGAACAAACCAGATCCCAGCGGAGGAAGAAAGTAGGAAGAAGCGCTGGAAGTGGATAGAACATACATTGAGGAAAGCACCCAACTGCGTCACAAGACAAGCCCTCACATGGAATCCTCAAGGCCAAAGGAGGAGAGGAAGACCAAATAACACACTGCGCCGAGAAATGGAGATAGACATGAGAAAAATGAACAAGAATTGGATGGAACTAGAAAAGAAGGCCCAGGACAGAGTGGGTTGGAGAATGCGGCCTATGGTCCATTGGGAGTAACGGGCGTAAGTAAATAGTTAGTAGGTGGACATTCTCAAGGCCACTTTAGCGTCGCTCAAAGGTCGTTCATAAATTATAGTTTCACCAATTATTTATAAACAATATATATCAATATTATAGTTATGTAACTTTTAAAACAAAATTAACTAACTATCTAACTAAAGATCACATTTGAAATCAGACTTAATCGTTCAATATTAAGAATGAACATCGAACTTTATTTAATAATTCCTTGTCTTCATTTCCTTAGATAATTCAAATCATAATGATTCTATAATACTTCCATGTTTATTATGTAAAACTATTCAACAATCTCCATATCAATTATTAAATCATTTAGAAAATATTCATAAAATCAATTCAGATCAATTTACAATTGAACATAGAAATCATGAAAATATTCCAGGAACAATATTTAACATTGAACAACAACAACAACAGCAGCAAATTGATTCATCATTAAAACAATCTAATGTAAATCATAAATTAATTCATACTGATTTGTATAAATATTCTAAAAATTTTACAAATTATTTCAATCTATTTAATTTTATATATAAAAATTTATTTTATTCTTATCATAAGAAGATTGATGAAATGGAAACAATCACATCCAATTATTTCATATCACCTAAATATATAAACAATCAATTAGTTCATGATAAAAAGGATCAGTTAGTACAAGTTGAACCATTTTCTAATGTTGATCTTAATCAATTAAGTATATTGGATGAAAATAATCATCAGAATAATTCAATAAATGAAAGTGTTATATCCTATGAATTATCTTTAGATCAAAATTCATTTTATTGTTTAAATAGAGATAAAAAGTCTACGAAACAATACAATATAACTTATAATTCTAAAGATATTTCAAAGAAAACTTCTTATCTGAATCGACATTTTATTAATCCAATTAACCATACTAATAAAAATAATAATACTGGGATGAACAAACAATCATCCAAATTAATAGCTCATTTAAGACGTGATATATGTGAATATTGTGGTAAAATATTTCGAAATTGCAGTAATTTAACTGTACATCGACGTATACATACAGGTGAAAAACCATATCATTGTAATATATGCACATATTCATGCGCTCAATCATCAAAATTGACAAGGCATATGAAAATACACAATAAACAACAAAAAATTTGCAAAGTAAAAACATCTAATTCCGAATATTCAGTGAAACATTTAAATAAAACAAAAAATAATTGTAAACAATGTAATAAAAGTTTAACATCTCAAATATGAACGTCATTTAGAAGCATGTAAATACGTTATTTGATTACTGATGAAAACATGAGTATACTATTTCATAGATAAGAAACAAGTATAAAAAATTTCCCACAAGTAATCTGAAGATATCACTTGTACTAGAGGAAGAGTCGCTAAGTTCTTATTTGAGCGCCAATGTAATATATACCTTGTTGTATTCATTAAAACAAGGATTGATCATTTTTCTTCTAAACTCAACTATTTTTGTCTAATTGTTTTACTACTTATTTCAAAATGAGTAGGCAAAACAATATGTATTTTTGTAATTTATATATAGATTTTAGTGATTAGCATTTACAGAATGTTGTGATTTATTTTATTTTAAGATAGAAATTTGAAATTAGTTACTGTTTAGTATCACACTTTAGAGGAGCATATTGATCTAATCTCAGCTGTACCATGATTTATGAATATTCATTTTTGAGGAGTTCTAAACTAAGGGGAATTAATTATCTACGGTTGTCAATGGTTTTATTGTTGGTAGTTTACTGTGATGAAAAATGAAAAGTTTAAATTTGTAATCATTAGATCGCTTACTTGGTAAGTTTTATCAACTATCTCCTTATCTTTCGAGGTTTTCGCACTGCTAATTGTGATTCTGGCAAGAATGTGGGGTATCTCCATACAGAATCGAACACTTGGGACCATATGAAATGGATGTGTGTGTGTTAGAGTAAGGTTATTTTTATTAGTGTATACAGATTTATTGTATAGAGGCTGATATATAAGCTATAACCATGCCCCAACAGTATTTATTGATTACTGTTCAATAGTTAAGCAGTAAAATTCAATAATTGTATTTTGTATCACCAATTTTACCCTTGATCTCATTCAATATGCTTATCGTATTGAGAATAAAGCATCGTTCGTGTTATAGACATGACTTATATAATTTAGTCGGTAAAATGGTAAGAACGGAAAGTCACTGTCTCTAACAACCAATAGTATCCAGTAAAAAGTTACTTTCATAATTCAGTACTGTATTGATAAACGAAACGACAGTTGTCGAGATGAAATTTCAGTAGAGAAAACAACACCCACTGAAGAGCAGATTCTTTCAGTTGGGTCTCAAAAACAAAGTAACACTCATTATTCATTCTACAGCAAGTTATTGATCCCGCGAGGCGGGATCATGGATGCGCACTACTGAGGATATGCTTTAAACACTAATATCAGAAGTAGTAGAAACTAATGGCTTGATGTAAGTTTTCTTAAATTATAATGTGATACGATTTGATTTTGATTACTTAGAGAAATCCGACTATTTCTTATCAATTGTCATTGCTCTTTTGGAATGCGATACAACTATTACGTATCTATTTACGATAGTATGCGACCATCTTCTATTGTCATTGGTAGCCACCTTCTTCATACTCAACACGGTTTAGTTCCACTAGTCACGGTTTCTCACTAGAACTCTGGAAATTTCCTTTTGAAGCTAGTCATTAGTAAACACGATAATTGTTAGTATGGGGTGGTGGAGGTTGTTGAATTTCATTGATTTCATGAACCGGTCAGTGAAATTCAACATTCTTGACAACCCTGTACGGACTATTTTTTATCTAATCGATTTAGATTGTCAGAATATGTAGCTGAATAGATGGATTTGTTTGACTGAGTATTTTGTTCGAATCCCTAGAAGATGGTTCTTACTGTTAAGTGTAAATGTTCTGAATTATTAGAAAAAATCTGCACTGATCTGATAAGAATAAGTTTAAACAAAAACTGAATCCAGAGTTTCATAGTCATTTTTATCAGTCCTTTTTTGACTAAAGTTAGAAGTACCATCCAGTTGTCAAACAACACAACCATTGTTATTCCAGATGCAAAGTTTTGAAATTATATTACCGCTTGTTTTTCATTTCATCTCTTAGCATTTCCGTTATATTATGGGAATTTTCTTTGGCTAAATGATCTTGACCGTACAAAAGGGGTATAATATATCAACTGTTGGTAAAAACTGGTTAATTAAATCTTGAAACAATATTATCAGTCATGTGAACTGCTGATAATAGTGAATGAGGAAATATCGACTGAACATGATAAATGAATGGATGGTGAGAAAGATTAGAAAGTTGTGTTGGATAAAGCATTATTTGAGAATAACTGAGTGGTTATTTTTTCCTAACTTTATGGTAATTTAGTATAAACCACAGTTTGGTTGACCACACAAACACACAAATGCAGCCATTCACACACGCAATACTACGAGGAGATCATAGCTAAAAATATAACTTACTAAATGCTAATTCGGTAGTTTAGAGTCTAAGTGTTCGCAATGGGACCTGAAGATCCTGGTTCCTATCCCGGGGGAGTCGTAGATGAGCATCGTTGAGGAGTCTCATACTAAACGGTGCTTTTTAGGTTTCATTGATTTTTTAGACAAGACCAACTCGTGATGTAAATTATAAAATCTAATAGTTATTTCAAAACCCTTGCACTGAGAAAATAAAAGATTTGGGACTTGTTGAAAACAATCTTTTGGAAAATGGGTGCCAGAAGAAATTAATTATCAAACAAAGAAAAGAGTAGCTTGTCTTCATATGTCTTACGTTCAAGGTGAATGGGATTTCAGGGATAATTAATGAAATGATTAGGGTAGCAGCGAGAACGAACCTTTCTACAGATTAACTGCCTTCATTATACAATTCCAAATGATTATTAAATAAATCAAATGCAGATGTCGACATAACATATATGAGATAAATAGGATTTCTAATTCGTCTACATCATTAACAGTTCGATCATATTGGAGTCAGACAAATGGCATTTAAAGACTACTGAGAGTTTCTAAGAGAAGTTAGTCAGGGAGAGACTATAATTTATGGACGACCTTTAAGCGACAGTAAAGTGATCTTGAGAAAAAAGGTTATAAATTCATGTTAAGAATTAGGATTAGAATTTAACGTTAGAAGTTAGGGTTAAGGAATGGAGTCGGAGTTTTCATCACGCATCGACGTCAGCCGTAGTGTCAAAATGCTATTTAGCAATATAGATGAATGAATTTCATGCCGAAATTCAAGTCCTGCCATCTTCTATTTCATCATTGATTCGTTCATAAATTATATTCTCGTCATTTTTTAATAAAAGGTATCAGTTGTGAAAAAGACAAAAGAAGACGTGATGATAAAAATCAATAAGCGCTTCATTAGCTAGATTAAAGTAAACAACCTCCAAAAGTTAAATCCACTTTTAATAAAGATAAACAAGTACATAAAATACTTATTATAATTATTCAATGATATTAAATAGAATTAATTTCAATAATCTTTCTAGCGTTATTCAGAAACTCAACTAACTAAATATTTTGATTACAAACCCCACAGTACTAACAATATATTAACTATGGCTAACTCCAAGAGATGGTTACCGGAGTCCGGTTGAAAAGTCATGATCAGTAAGATTCAATCATGCCGTGTATAAGGCAGATATAATCACGGGGAATGAAAGATGATAGTATAATATTGTGAATTTATTGAGATAAGAAATATGAAGCAGGAGGAGATAACACAGCAATCGAAAAGTATCTTGGTCATCGTGAAGCCTGAAGATTCTAAGTACGATCCTTGGGTGGGATCATGAATATTTACTTCTAAGGAGTCATATATTAAGGTGAAATAACTATCTACTATTTCCTGGTTTTCAATAGTTATGAAAACAATGACAATCCTTGATGTAAAATTACACATTCAACAATTTCTACAAGCCCACTTTTTAAATGAGCTATAGAAAATAGTGTGAATCCTTTTGGCTTAGAATTTACTTAAAATTAAGTTCAAAAGATAAGGTTTGCTTAAACTGACAAATCACGAATATTTAAGGATGGAATATTAATCGTTAACACTTGACGAACTTATAAGTGTAATCTAACAAATTTATGTTTCAGTAAAGTAACAGTTCCAGGTGAAATGAAATTCTACATTGGATTAACAAAAGTTGGCAATAAAATACACTTATCACTAGTTATTACTATTGGCTAAGGGATAGTATTAATTTGAAGATATGTTATTAAAATAATTATAAATTTCATGCCCATAGTTTATAGGTACGATAAGATTAGTTACAATTAGATGGAAAATAATGAGTATAATGTTTTAAACGCGAATAATCCTTTAAGGGTATGAAATTTATTTTAATACGCTTTACACCCCCCCCCAACTATTCATCTGTATCTTTCTCCTACCAATCAAAACCGTCATTTTAACCGGCCAATGAAATCCTCACTATCTGAGAGATAAAAGTCGTTGTCGTTGTTGTATGCCCTGTTTATTCCAAATAGTGAGGTTGATATTATTTTCAAAGAGCTGTTTGTTGATAAATTATTTCAAATGGAAGCAGAACTTTTGAGACAACAAACATGTTTATGAGAGTGTGACTTTTTGCCATTTCATAACACAAGATAGTCGTCGAAATTCAAATGATTTTTACATAAAATATGTATGCAGAATGGTCATCTACAACTACCGATAACTTCTCAAGAGACGTGAATGTTTGTTTTACATTAAATTCTTTATAAAATGATTTGGACAGCCAGTTGGTAGTGGTTGTTAATCCTATATATTTTTGTTCGGCTGGTAAAAGCCTTTTCATCAGTATCTTAGACTGTCAGTGGACACGTAGTCACGAGTTACTTCATCTCACTTATGAGAAAAACCTTCGCTTTTTTTGTCTGACAGCCGATCAGAAGAATAATTAGAATATAATAATCAGTAGTTTGAAATAATAAATATATAGATTTTTGTTACATCCCAGTGAGTAGAAAATTGTATTTCCGACGTTTCGCGACTCAACATAAGCTACTTCTTCAGAGTGAGTAAATAACCAAATTAAATTTCTTTGTACTATTTAAACTTGTGTTAATTGGTTCGTCCACATATTATGGTCTCGTCGAATTAAACTGTCAAGTAAAATACGTTTCTCTTAAGTCATTATGCAGGAAAGTAAAGACAAGATTTGTAGAATAGAATAAATTCATT